TTATTCAAGTATTTATCATATCGTAAACAGTTCTTTATAGGTTAAACTACTTTTATACTTTGAGACTGCAAAGTTGATCTGCCAGGGATATCCATTAGCAATTGGCACGTTTTCAAATGGCAGTGCGTAATTTTTGACAACCATACAAAACTACCAGAAGGCTTGTTTTCAATTCTTTCTAATGGAAAGTGAACTGCTGCCATAAAATTCTCATTGGCAGAAACAAGCAAACACAACATTCTCCATCTAATAATCAGCAGGGACAGGGATAGATGCATCTACAATTGTATCCAGAATATATTGCAAATAACTCCTCAGTAAACATCTTTAGCTAGTCAATTAAAGAAAATTATTTGAGAAATAACCTAAAAACCTTATATTCACCAACCTTTTCAAGCATTAAAGATTCCTTCCCTACAACACAATAAGCATTATAATTTTGAAGACCTTAAATCCAGAACTCTACCTCACTTTTCTTTTTCTTCCTCCCTTGTCTTCTCTGCATTTCCATTGTTCTACTTGTTTTGTGATACTCCATAAATGTTCTCTATCACAGCCAAGGTAACACTCTCTACTCAGTCTTGGAGTTCCCCTTTCTCACTTGTTCTCCATCTCTTGTTCTTCCTGCTTCAGTATTAATAGCACAGTCCCTCCATATCTTCATCCAACTTGATTCTTCTCATTTCCCACTCCTAACAGCTTCTGTTTTAACCAGTCCCAGCCAGCCTTCTGACTTCCATTTTTCAGCTGCAACTGAGATTTTTGGGGATCAAATGATTCCCTGCAGGAGGGGTGGTCTTGCCACTTGTCCTTTCTGCCACATTTGCATGCCCTCCCTCACCTTAGCAGTGGTTATAGTCAGCCCACTGCAAGCTGTTCAGCTCACTCAACCAGCTAAAGCTACTCACCTCCCTCCTTGCTGGCTCAGTTTTCAGCTTGCTTAGTGATTTAACTCAAATTACCAAAAAGCAGGAAAAACACCCAAGTTGGTGGAGAGAGGGGTTGAAAAGTGAAGAGAGGTAGCCTTCAATGGAAGAAGGAAGAGAGTAAGAAGAGAATGGGCCTGTCTTTTCAGTCCCATAAGTCTCAGCCATTTTACCTGACAAAAACCTTAATCACTCAGTTCTATTCCAAGTTTGGTTTCGTTTCTCTACAGTCCTACTAACTTTGGATTTCTGTGTTTTCTGGGTATCTTCTTCCTTCACATCTACTAGATAGCAAAAATGAGCATTATTCATTGGCTGGGGATAGGGTAACATCATCCTTCTCATTTGTTCCCTTTCTTGCTTTCACCATTCCCCCTGGGCATCTTTTTTTCCACATTGGGAGTAAAATATATATCAAAAAGTGTGGTGAATAACCCTTGCCAGTCACTGTCCTGGAAGCTATGTCATAACCAGTGATTTTTATTTTTAAGTTTTCTGCTCTGAATCAAATTCAGTTCAATAACTGCTAAAAATTCCCCTAATCTTCTTTCTTTAACAGGCAATACTTAGTATAATGGTATATTGATGTCATGCAGTACTAAATTGATAGAATAGCTCTGAAAATCTTCTCCCTAGGTTTTTCTACTGCTGTAGAAACTTGAGAGAGAAGCAGTGACAGGAACTAAAAGGTCCCAGAAAATCTTTCCCTGAGAAAATGCATCTGTTATTCAGATGTATTGAAGATATTTTCAAAGGCCTCTGCAAGAATACAAAAACAATATGTCATATTAGAGTAGAAAAAATTTCATACAGAAATGCAGGAATTATGTTTCTGAGGATTTAATAAATTTCATTCGATGATAAATTTTAGTGCTTGTACTTCTGGTTTTGCTGCTTGTAACTGAGCAATTTATCATTTGAAAGCCCTAAGTTATTCTAAAGCTTTTTCTTAGAATTTTGATAATTCAAATAGAACTATTGCATGCAAATACAAGAATTTTGATTCCCAGTCCCACCTACAGAGAAAATTGCCAAGTAATTATTGTTGAACTATAAATTATTCCTAGTTAACTATTAACTTACTAAGATGAAAGCTGTGGCCTATTCCCATGGCCAATAGTTGCACTTCAACAAGAAGATCCAGTAAACTGTACTTTCAAATTAACTACTAATAGAACTTTGTGCATTGAAACTATTATACATGTGCCATATATGTATCTATATATCTATAAAGAAACTGAATTTGAGAAAAAGTGGAAGTACAGAAGTCAGGCACTCTGCATTAGGTGCTTCAGTTTTGACTAAAGGAATATTCGCCAATTATTGAGAAAGTCTGTGAAGAATCCTGATTCTTCACAGATGACGAGAAAAGAGAATTAAAATTATGTGTAGAGCTGTATGATGAGTCCAATTTGTAATTTAAACTAATAAATTAGAATATCTAACTAATTAATGAAATTTTCCAAATACAAAGCTACACAGGTAACAACAGGTTCCAAAAGCTTTTCAGGAAGAAGTAGTGCATACTATGACAGCAATGGAACTTTGAAAAGATATACAAAAGGCCATTATTTTTGCCATGAAGCAAATCTTTCAATCAACCTGACTGATAAAAAGTTGACCAAAATTATCCATAATTCTTAGAGTCACTGTAGATACCTATACAATTTAATAACTGACTGGAATTGAAAGAAGACATTTCACAGTAACACCCCACTGGAGACAAATCTGAAAAATGATCTTGAACTCTCCTCCTCACATATGAGAGGAATTTGATAAGAATCAATCTGATAAGAATCAAAGGAGTGCAGGTTTATAACTGTAAATCTTAATATCATTTACATTAACTAAATTGGAGATACATCATTTGTCTCACTGAACTATAGTCAGTTAGTTATTATTCATGTATGTTTACAGAAGAGTGGTATTCCACCCAAATGCTCTGTCAAGATGAATGATTCCACCCCTGGCTCAGATGGAAATGAAAGTCATTATCCCAGATCCAGAGACATATCTACAGTATTATATATGCCAGCAAAATAGGGAATTTTTCCTTAAAGTCACAGATTTTTCTGACACACCAGTAATAATGCTAGCATGCAATCATACTTAAAAAAAAAACACAAAACAAAACAATAACAAAAGAAAACAAACCTTGTGATATTTTCTGTCTGTATTAATGTGTCCAGGTAAATGTAAACAAGAACTAAAATTGGGCTTGTTTGCTTTTCTTCTCTTCACAAAGATGTTTCTGCTTAATAGCCAGGATTTTCAGCCAACAGATGCCATTAGTATGTATGTGTGTTGTTTTGTTTCTTGTAAAACCATTGTGGGTTAAGCCCAGTGGGAAAATAAGCACCACACAGACTCATTCCCTTCCTCCTCCCTTTCCCCAAGTGGCATGGGGGAAGAGGCATGGAAAAACCCCAACAACTGGGGGTCAAGATAACAAACAAAAATTTTGTTTAATAAGTGAAAGATAAGTAGAAAAAGAGGGAAGAAAAAAAAGAAACAAGTGATGCTACAGCAATCACTCACCGCCTCCCATGGGTAGACTAAAGCCCTGCCAGGTCCCAGGCAAAAGATGGCTATCCCCTCTAAAGCCCCCCTCTTTGCACTTTTATTCCTGATCATGACGTTATGTGGCAGGGAATTTCTCTTTAGTTAGCCTGGGTCATCTGTCTGGTTGTGTCCCTGCCCAGCCCATTGTGCAGCCCCTGGTCTATTCACTGGGGGGATGCAGAGTGAGAAACAGAGAAGGGATTGATGCTGTGCAAACACTGCTCAGCACAAGCTAGAACATCCCTGTGTTATTGAGACTGCTTTCATCACAAATCCAAAACACTGCTCCATACAATCTGCTGTAAAGAAAATTAACCCTATCCCAGCCAAAGACAGTACAAGAGTACAGCATAATAGGTACAGTTCCACATCCAACAATTCTAAATGATACAATAAGTTAAAAAAAACCTAATGTAAAACAGAGAGAAAAAGATTTTCTGTGCTACTTTATTCTTATAAAGGGGTGAAATTGCTGGTTTTGTCAGCTAAAGCAGCTCACCAAAAGGTACAATGAGTACAAGACGTAATGAGAGGGGTAGGACAGCACAACACAACAAGAACCAAGAAAGGAATGAAAGAAGAGCATAGCACCCATCTTTTCAGCCTTTTCAACTCACCAAACAACACCTTAAATTTGATTTAGTCTTGAGTGGAACTAGCACAACTTCTAGAAGTAGCTGGCATAAATGCAAACCTCATAGGCAGTGTTAAACACCCTCTGGTGAACATAATGGTTTCACATCCCTACACACCTCCCATTTTGGAATCCCCCTTTTGTGTCACTTTGCTCTGCCAGCCCCCCTGTAAGACAGACGGACCAGTCTGAGCCACACCTAGATCACTGCAGAATTAGGTCCTTCAGCCTTCCCTCTCCTTAAGTTAAAAATGAAGAGTATAGATGCTGATCATCTAGCTAACAAAAATAATTATGCATTTTTACACAGTATATCTTTATAAATAAACCCATGCACTGTACTCAAATACATTGTAACAGGACTCCTGCATGCCATCATTTTAAAAACAAGCCTTTTCTTACAGAATTTACATCAACCTTGTAGCTAAATGGTCAAAGCACCAATCCTATACTTTAAGGCACTGTAGAAAATATGCAGAAAATATTCTATCAGTTAAGCCAAACAAGCAAAAAGAACATATTGGAGAATAAATGTTACCATAACACTTTGAAAGACTAGAACACAGCACAGGAAAAGCAGTAAAATAAGCATGTGAGCTTTTTTCATTTCATACAGAAAGATTTTCCCTTAACTTTGGCTAAGAGGTCATTCAGTAACAACAAGACTAAAAATAAGCTGTCAAAAAAATCTATCTTGAAACCTTTTATATCTGTAATCCAGTCTGTAAGTAGTAAAAAATAGTTTTTTAAGCTAACATGGTATTTATTATTACTAGCTAGTATTAAAAAAACCCAAAGCAAACAAACCCAGAAAACCCTCCAGGACTTTCATGCTTGGTTGATTCTATTAGTTTAAAAAAGTGTGAAATAGGACTGACCTGGACAGAAACTCTGCTGTGTCCGAGTAGTTAATTTTTCTTGCACAGCACACTTTTCAAAATGTCCTGCAGTTGCATTCTGATGTAGGCCCCGTTGTCTGCTGGCAAATCCCAATTCTCCAGGATCAGAAAACTTCCGATAAAATGATGGCTCCAAATCACTGAAAGAGAAGTTTATAGCACCGTGCCTTCCATGGCCATAGTCACTGAGCATGGATTCGTCCTCGGTGTTCTGTGTTGGTAGCGGGAGGATCCGGTGGTGCAGCTGCGGGCTGGGCAGTCTCGAAGATAATGGAGAAGGAATAGGTGACATTTGTTTGTGTGTATTAGATAGCGGATATGAATTACTAAAAACATTACTCACTGCTGCTAATGGGGGTGAATGCAGCCTTTTCTCTTCCAGTTTAAGATTATTACTTGTCTGAGGAATATCAGGACTTTCATTTACAGGCAGGTTCAAAAATAAATGCTTGCTGTTTCCCTGGGATACCGTGGTCCTTTTCTCATATGGTGAGCCTGGCAGGTTTTTGTCTACTCTTGTAATTTGTTGCAGTCTCTTCCATTCTGCAGCTTCATCTAAACTGTCGCTCCGGATAACTTTCAGAAGAGCTTTATTAACTGCTCCCACAAGGTTGCATGACTCATCAGTAATGTGCACTCTCTCTGCTTTGTACTGCAAACCAGAGCTGTCTTCCTCCTTTTCCTGCAGCACACTGTTATTAGAGTCTCCAGCAGCTTCATCTACAGAGTACACATCACTTCTTGATATAACCTCGTTATGTGCTCTTGTGAGAACAGGAGAAGTGGTTTTGTTATCTCTGTGAGAGTCAGGCAAAGACTCTGCAGGGGGATTGGTAACTTTTTTAATACTAGTGTCGAAGTCCTGGACTTCAGCAAGAACTGTGATTCCTGGTTTCTCCTTGCATACTGGCTCAGCATACTTGCTACTTTTCAAGCCTTTAGCAGCTGCAGATTTACTTAATGTCTCAAGTTTGTTAGACAGACCGTAGTGAGATGAATTCACCAAAGTGGTCCTCTGTTGTACCTTGGTAACTTCAGGAATGCATTCTCCATTATCTACTGGTTCAACTGCAACAACATTGTTGATGTCTTTTGAGCTAGAACTTGGTAAGTCAGCATCCAATTTCACAGCTTTGTTAGTCTTAAGAAAATAGCCCTCTTCTATCCACCTTTCTGGTTGTATTCTATTGTCTACTGGTAAATTATCCTTACCTTTTACTGATAGGCAGCTGGAGGGAGAAAAGGAGCTAGGATAACTCCTGGTAGAAAGTCTTGTGGAGACCATCTTATTTTTCTGTTGGATGTCTTGTGTACTCAGTAAAAAGAGATGTTCATGTATCTTTTTTCCCTCTTTACGATGTCTGATCTCTTCAGAACTCTCTTTCCTTCTGTATTTCCTCATTTTTTTGTGATTCAAATTGTCTCTCTTTGTAGAATCCTGCAGTAGTAACTCCTGCTGATGTGTAAGAATGGAGTAATTATCACCTTTAAGTGTCGGGACTCCGGAAACATCCTGTCGCTTTTCCTCCTGATGTCCTGCCTTAAGGTCCGGAATATGATGAGAACTCAAAACACTGGATAACAGGTTTTCCTTTTCAGCAGTCAGTTTGTACATTTCATTGAGAAGGTCTTTTGTGGTAGTTTGCTTGAAAATAATAACGCCATGGTCTTTATATGGCCGTTCTCTCAGGGCCATGTCTACCCTCTCCCTCACTTGATAGCAGCCACAGAAACTCTCACTGGTTCTATCCAGAGTTCCAGAGCCCACATAAGTAAATCCTGTGACTTCCCCCTCTGGATGATAGAAGCTGATGTAACAAAGCTCTGTAATGGGTTTGTGCAACAGGAGGATGGTATGTGTGCCTTCCATTATGCTTGCCAAATTAGTCATTCATTTAAATTATGTTCTAAGTGTTCCAAAGCTTGCATGACATAGCATGTGAGGCAGGGAATGGACGGAAGGCATCTGACTAATCTTCAACAATAATATTGTCTGCTGGAAAAAATAAAGAGAAGCCTGTCAAACTTGATTATGGCAAATTTAATACGACAAATAACAAGCCTGCAGAAGCACAATCTTCTCTCAGTATTTTCTGATACAAATCTTTTACCTTGAAAATATGACACAAAAACAATGACATTGCTAACACTCATAGTTGGAGTCATAATCTTTATCTCTCATACATCACTCCTCTGTCTCCAGGGTTCTCAGTCAATGCTGTTCCATCAAGATGGTCACTAAAACATCCATTTCAAAGAGACCTTACTTTTCAATGGTGGAATCTCTTGCCTTCTCTCTGTTAAAAGTTAACTTGCTATTGAACATTTACTAAAAAGAACCATTCAAGCATGCCTGTTGCATTTTTACTCAGCACAAGAACCAGCATAAGACCATCACAATGTAATTAGGTCTCCCTGCTTTATTTATCAAGAAAACATTTAGGCAATAAAAAAGTTTGAATATTTTCTTCTTGTACTATTTTGTGGAACTGCCAAGACATCAAGAAAACTTGGAATAACAAAACAAAATATAGGTTCTGCTGTGTGCTGGACATTTTGTCCAGAAGGATATTGTATTTTGAGACACAGTATTGAAAGCTTTGCTGAGGTCCAAAGATTTACAAGTGTTGTATCAGTTTTCATTATGCAGACTTAGATATCATTTTATAATGATGTCCATAAATTATTATAAGTAATTAGTGAAGCCCAACTGTAAGAATCAAGCACCATCTACCCAAAATATCTTGTCAACAAGCAGTCATTTATTGTAGTAATTTAATTGCATCTGTTTATAATGTTCTTTAAACAGTTTCAGACTTTCCATTTACTTTGAGTAGTATCATCCTTTGTGCCAGGAAAATTCTTGAAATGTACACAAAATCCTTAAAGACTGAGGAGATATCTGTCTTTAGTAACATGTAAGAACAATGAGAGCTCATATGGCTCCATTAGAGCTGTATGAGCTCCTTAATTCTGTCACCAGGAGTTAACAGTTGAGCGGCATAATTCAGAAAACTGTTCAAGTATAGGAAGTGGTAGGAAATGTGCAAAACATTTAGTCACTACTTTTCTTGAAGACTGACTCACTAGCTAGAGACCCAGACATTATGATCAAACTTACTATCCTCAAATGACATCTATGATATCACCAGGTTCAAGCCATCCCTACTCTGTAGAGCACATTACTTTTGGTAACATGCATGGGTTTGGGTTGGGGTTCTTTCTGTGACAAAAGATGATATGTGTAAATAAGAGAACTAGCTAGCCCTTGTCTCGGCTGCACAGATTCGCTATGCCCCTCCCAAAAACCAAGCAGCTCCTCCAATTTAATCTGAGTTCTGAATCATTACATCACTGAAACAAGACCTACAGCTCTCTTTGAATCATATTGCAAAAATGATTAAATTTAAAAGCTCTTTTTCACTTAGAAATATACAAATGTACCGAGCTTTTTCTTTTTTTTGTAAATGGTTATTATCTTTGAATAACAAACTTATGCCAGTTTGAACCTAGTATAAAGGCTACATGCTATTAGTTATCTTCTTAGTTACACCAAATTAAACAATGGGCATACACACATTGGCACATTAAAATGTAGAATCACTGTGAGTAGGGCAGGACACATCATTCCCTTCTCAGCATGACAGATGGCCTTCCTCCTTTCTCTGATACTTAAGTAAGTCAGAATTGAAATTCCTTACTTTCCCAGCTCTCCCTAATACCTGATTGTTACTAGGTGACAACCTGTTTCTGAGCACACTATGACTAATGTTCTGAGCTATGTAGCTAATCAACACATCATAACAGCAAAAGCATCATAGAGGAAAGGTAGCAAAAATGTGAACAGACCAAGGCTTCCCATCACCAGCTTGAAGACAATGAAATTAAATTACCATAATATTTGTTTACTGAGCTCAACTGTTTGATAGAGAAAAATAGAGATGAACACCATAATTTTCTTCTCTTGCCTAAAATCTCAAGTTTCTCTGAGGTTCTTTCAAATTTTCATTAGACTTAAAGATATTGTCATTAGAAAGAGAAAGGTTATAATATCTTAATGAAGACAAAATATTACAGCTCCTTCCAGCAGCTTTAACATAAATAAAAAAGTCTACATTGTGTTTATTGGATTGTGGCAAAACCAACAAAAAAACCCCAAACCAAACAACACACATAAAAATACCAACCAAATTTAGAGTATTTAATTATTTGTATAATAGTTTGAACAATACTGTTTATTGTTAGCAATAGTAGTTTAAAATACTGCTCTTCACAACTTCTCAAGTACTGAATTACACCAGCAAAGAGAGCATTAAGGAATATAAAACAGAGTCTATGCCAGACAGGAAGCTGCTTTATTAAATTTCAGATCTCATCCAACAGCACAAGGGAAGTATTAAAGCATATTAGAGTCCTGCCAGCAAATTCAGATGAAACAGAAATAACCCAAAACATAGGGTGGAAAGTCATTAAGTCAATCCACAGTGCAGACCTTTGTATACCAAAACTAATTTCTAACCATAAATACAACCTTTGGCTGTGTCATTCTGTTCAATCTAATCCAACACCATGAACCAGGAAATCGAGGACAGAGTCCATGAAACAATCTGAAACCCAGGTCTCTAAATACATCATCCTTGTGGTCCAAAGATGAGGAAATCTTTGGATTTCCTCAAAACTTCTTGAAACCAAAAACCACAATTCAACAAAAAGATAATTTACATGAGGCATATAAAGTTAATTAAAATCAGGTTTAAAAGTTTCTGGCTGGAGTGCATAATATGATGATGCCTCACTAGGAGCAAATACATTCTCAGTAGCCAGAGTGCCCCATACTTGTTCTGGTCCTTCGTAGATCACTGTCTCATTTGACATAGCTGCAAACATGCATATTATCTTAGTGTACAGAAGATGGGTAAAAACAGTGATGGTACTTTGGGGTTTAGAACTAATATTCACCTTTTTCACAAAAAAATGTATACAATGTTTGGCTAGTCAAATATAAAATAATAGATTTATTATTTGCACCACCAGGTCTCAAAAACATGTTCCCAAAAGGAGTCTGACATGAAAGTTCTCATCCCTCTGTAGCCTACTTTTGTTTAGCAAAGCAATATCTATCTTTTTCTGGCACAACTGCATCAGCAAGTTAAAAAAAAAAAGAAGTTGTCACACAACATGTCCTCATGAAACTGTTTTTGGAGTCAACCATACCACAAAAATGTCCAAAATCTGTTTGTCAAAGATGACTAATTTGCGAAAATTAGTTTCCAAACGGGATTTCCACGACAAACTCACCCACCTGACTGTTTAAGAGGTTACTAATAAAAAAGTCTGCAATGGACATTACAAATATGAAAAGTCTTTAATGTAGGATGCACATTACGTAGGAAACCAGCAGACATTAAAGCAGAGAATGAGCAAAGGCAATCTGTACACCTATCTTAAAGAAATAACACAGTAACAGCCTGTTTGAAACGGACTATTTCAAGAAGTACAGCATTTAAACAAACAAACAAATTTCTTCTGCACTTCAGTCAGGCTTTTACTCTCTCCACCTTGCTCTTAGACATGTGGCATGGAAAGAACCAAAAGAGCAGATGAGTCAATCTTCTTGCTTATAGGTTGTTGGGGTTTTTTTTGACTAGAACAGAGTTTTCTGACGGCTGAAGAGGCAAACTGAAAGGTAAGTACCACTAAAAACATTTCTCATACTCTCACCATATGTAGAAGCCCAAACTTATGATTCAAAGTGATGCAAAAGATCCTTACGAACAAGCAAACAAACATTACCCCAAACTCTTTGATGGTAAGAAAACCTGCAATTAGCTCAGCTGGTTAGAGCATGGTGCTAATGATGATCAAAGTTGTGAGTTCTATCCCTGTATGTGCCATTCACTTAAGAGTTAGACTCAATGATTATTGTGGGTCTCTTATAGTTCAGAAAAGTCTGTGAAAAGAGTATTTTGCCAAATCTGGAGATTAAAATAAATGTTAAAATTATTTTGTCTATTTTTAAATAATGACAGGGTTTATTCCTCAACAGCAATCCCATGGTATACTGTGCTTTACTAATTTTACATCGATATATATACCTCATTCAGACAAATAACTCTCCCCTAAAACATCCCTACATCCCTAAAACCTTCCCCATATCCTTTGTACCTAGGATGAGCACTCACAATGAAGTCTTATAACTTAAAATAGAAAACTACTCAATATGTGTACAGAGGATAGTGGCTAACATTCAGATGAACTCATATAGTTATGTAAAAAGTAATTAGAGGCAAGAGGAAAATATCGTTTGCCTCAGGTCACAGATGTCTTAATGTAAAGCTGCACTTATTAATTGTCAGCTGATTTTCAAGCAACAAAGAAAGAAAGACACAAACAAAAAGCCATACTAGACCAGAACAGCTACTACAGACAAACTATTCACATCATCTAAAACATAACTTCTACATATTCCAGCACAAAATTATTATTGATAAATAAATATCCTGATAAAATATATTATCAGAAAAAGTAAGATAAAAAAATTTACATTTACACTGAACAAAATGACACAAACTTGCAATAACATATTTGTACATGTCAGACTTGGGTCATAAACTGCACACATGACTTTTTTCCAGTTTTAACCCAGATAGATAATAAAACATTTACAATAAAACATTACAATAAAACATTTTTTCTCAGTATTTGATCAATGGGTAAGTCTTACAGGATACACAGTAACTTGTTTCCACTTCTGGCAGCAACTATAGGATATTACTACAGGAAAATAACATGAATTAAATAAGTATTTTCTAAATAAAAGGATCATCTTCTTGTTAATCTTTGTCCAAAAGCTTTAATCTTGCTTGTTCA